TCTCTTGACTTGCAGATATTTCTCTGATCTTCTATCTGCAAGACGTGGTTCAAGGTCAAGGCAGAAGAAGACTTTGCTGAGAAACCTGATTCATTCTGTTTCTGACCAGTTTGCTGAAGATGAGCAGAATGTAAGTGAATCACTATAAACTATTCTGAAGTCAGTAAAGTTTTCTTTAGGATAGTATGGTTGACTAAGGAATATACAATGATGAAAACACTCCATATCCTGAATAATGTTAAGCGATCTGTTTCATATATACATTTTCAGTCTGCAAGCATTTTCTGTTTATCTCCTGTCATCTAGGATGCTCATGAGTTCTTCAGCTGCCTGGTATCCCAGCTAAATGAGCTGGGAACGCTAATTCAGGCCTGGGAGGGAGCAGCAATGTACGCCTGTCCTGTGGAAGGAAACCTGTCATTCCAGATGCTGTGCCAGAGGACGTGTACCAGGTAGACCCTGCTGGTTTTATTGGTTTTGCACGCCTGTCTGAATGAATTACATGATGCTGCCACAAAGTCACAAAGCAGTGATACACCAGCACTGGGGATCTAGTTCTTACTGAAGCTCCGAATGTTAGTGATTGAGAATATAGGAAATATTCAGTTTCTTAGTATCTCTTTCCACTTTCTTGGTCTCCTGCAGCTGTGGAGCACAGTCATCCAGGACAGAAGATTTTACCAGTCTCTCCCTGGACGTCCTCCCACATCTATCAGTGGAAGATCTGCTGAAGAACTACTTCAAGGTGTCTGTAATCTTGCACACAGGTTCACTCACAACTAGCCGTATTCCAGACAAACACACACTCACCCTACGCCTTACTAGCTGGTTCTGAAACATAGAATTGTTGTGTTGTAATGGTCCTGGTGAAAGGCACTAATGACTGAGTTCTGCTGTGTGCTGATTACAGGATTCCGAGGTGGAGTTCAGATGTGCCACCTGCAGGGGGAGCCATGCTGTCCTGTCATGGACATTTATTACACTGCCTCGGTGAGTTCATTACTTTCCCAGCAAATAAGAGCATCAGTTGTATGCATACACGGTGCTCAGTAATGTGCACAGTGTGACAAACGGATGCTTTTGGGTTGAGCTGTATGTAGTTAATTTGCTGATAGACAATGAGGTGTGTGCGTTCAGTGCTGTCCTTTTCCCTTTTCTCATTGACTTTAATTCTGCATCTGCAGTGTCCTGGTCC